CTGTCACAATCATGTACCTCAAATCATTCAGCCATTCCCCAATTGATGGGCTTCCTTTCTTGAGCTGAACTGTCAAGCATTCAAACTCTATAGCAGAGAGCACAACTCAGACGGGGTGGCCACTTTGTTTGAGTGCCAAATGTGCCTCTGCCTAAAAGACTTACTTTACAGAGAACTCACTCAAGGCAAGCACTCACATGGAGGTCAGATACAAGGACACTCTCAAGGCGTCTCTGAAGAACTTTGGAATCGATTGTGATACATGGGAGACACTGACGCAGAGCTGTCCAGCATTGGCATGCCCATATCAAAGAAGGTGCTGTGCTCTATGAGCAAAGCAGAATTGTATTAGCTCAAAAGAGAAGTGCAAATTTCGAGCCATCTCCACTTGGAATGTTCAGATAGGCTATTTGAGCCTGACCTGTGGTAGAGCCTTCCGAGCTCAGAATGGTCTGATCTACCACAGTTAGACACAATGGACCTTGACCCTGACGTAGTGGTGTCACTTCAGTCCTCTTTGAACAGGAAGGATAACAACCAATCAAATTCCACTGGCTCTCTATCACCTATACCCCCCCTCCCCCACCTTTCCAGTCTTTTTTACACCTTCTGCCCCATCCTGTACTCTTCCATCCAGTGACACTGGCTTGGTTGTTCTACTAGAAAGACACTCCATTTCTCAGGTTCCAGCATTCTCTCTGACTGTCCTCCATACCTGGAACTCTTTCCCCTCCTCTGGTCTGATTACTGACCTCTCCAGCTTCTTTAAGTCCCTTTCACTGGAAGCCTTCTCCAACCCCTCTTAATTCTAGTGCCTTCCTACAGTTACTTATTACTATTATTTTTTCTGTATGTAGCTTCTTCATATATAATTGTTTGCTTGTTGTCTTCCCCGCTCGATTGAAAGCTTCTTGAGGGCAGGAACTGCCTTTTGCCTCTTTTTTAACCCCAGCTCTCAGTAGAGTTTTGAGCACATAGTAGGCACTTAACGCTTTCGGACTGACTGACTTCTCTTCTCTGGGTCCACGTTTGGTAATTATAGTTACACCATGTTCATTTTCACATTTTTGTTTCCTGTTTCCATTTTGTAGGCCTCTTCATCAAAGAATGAACCTTCCAATGTGTCTGTGAATTTTTGATTTTCACTGTTTCTTATGGCACAACAATATTTCTATACATTCGTGTACCACAATCTAATGGTCGATAATAACTATTCAATAGTAATAGCTAATATTTATATAATGTTCTAAGGTTTGCAAAACCCTTTCTATCTATTATCTCATTAAATCCTTGCTACATCCTTGTGAGGCAGGGGCTATTATTATCCCCATTTTATGGATGAGGAAACTGAGGATGAGTAAGATTAGTGACTTGCCCAGGGTCACACAGGAATTGTTTGAGGCGGGATACAAACTCAGTTCTTCCTGACTCCAGGTCCAGCACTGTCCCCTCCTTGCCACTGGTGTCAATCTCAGATAGAAATGGACCCCAGAAGTGGGGGTGGGGGCATGCTTATTGACTCAGAAAACTACAAATCAGCATTATCAATGTTGTGCTGTATTGCTGTTTATTTTGTTGAACACTTTCCAATTGCAGTTTAATCTGCTTCCTGCCAC